TTACAAAATAAGTTCTTTCAGATTAATAAAATCGTAAAAGCACACAGTTAAGTGTCAGACAAAAAGAATCAGATGCGGGCAAATAGTAACGTTGTTGCCGGGCCAAGCAAAGTCTCATAAATAACGTAGTATGTTAACTAGATGAGTTCATAGAAAACCTCAGACCATGCATTACTTTGCCTTAGTCTCACTATCTCATTCACTATGAACTCAGTCATAAGCCATCAATGGCGGCCACGTTCAGCATCGTCTCTAGAAGGAGACGTTCTCATAAAGAAACTCCTTCTTACCCATGACCTTGATGGTCGCCGTCTTGAATCCGAGCAATTGCTTCGAGTCACCGAGAATATCATGTGCTTTGCTACTACATCAGAAGTGCTAGTAACTCCCTGCTTATTCTGACCAATTGATGAATATAAAAGATGTTTTTAAAGGTTCCTTTTGTATTAGTCTGCAATTTCGTCATTAACAGCATTAAATTTTTAAATGAATTTTCAGGTTTCTGATATTCATAGCGATGCCTTTGCAATGGATAATGAAAGCATTATTGAAATTGTTGGGTCACAAGAACCGCTGGGATACACCATTTACAAAATATCTCGCGAGGTTTCTAATCTTTCTTCCTCTTTATTGCTAACAATTATCAAGCATTTACATAAATGATCAATTTAGTACATTTTTGGTAATACCAGATACTCTGCAAGTGTTGTGGGGAAGGAGATGTTCATACAAGGACCATGGTCATGTTTGATTTGCTAGGGAATTATAGATGGGATGCAAAAGTGGTTTTAGTACTTGCAGCATTTGCAACAAGCTATGGTGAATTCTGGCTCACAATGCAGCTATACCCGGAAAATCCTTTGGCGGTATCGGTTGCAATGCTCAAACAATGGCCAAGCAGCATCAGCAAGTTGAAGCCTCGATTTAAAGCATTAAGTTTGTTGGTTAAGACGATGATTGATGTGACCAGGTGTATAATTAAGTTTGAAGGCCTGCCGGTTGCTCATGTAATACCAGATTTTCAGATTATTTCCGCTACAAAGTCTCAGATTTTCTTTGCTGCTTACTGGATCACTAGAAGCACATTGGTCTGTTCTTCTAGTATCAAAGACTTGATTGCCATGAAGCCTGAGCAAGTGCATGTTCTTTCCCTTCAATTATCCCTACTAATATTCTGATCTTCTTAATTTTGTTTAGGATATTCTATCAAGATATTTAGCCTTCAAAGAATTATTTAGTGTTTGATGATCTAATTCATTTGTTTGATGCTCATATCATGTATTGATTATTCTTCAGGTATTCAAATTCAACAATTGCAGCTTGGGAGCTCTCAAGTTTGGTATATAGGTTGAGCGGGATCTACAGTCACCTCAGACGGCAAGTGGATGAATGTCATCGAGATATAGGTTCTTGTTTATGTACTTTTGAGTAATTCAATAGGAGTTCACTTTTACATGAAATTTGAATTGTGCATATTTTTTTTCTTTTCATAAAATTTGCAGAGATGAAGATGTATCAGAAGCTTATAGATACTTTCAAGGACAAGGAGTCCCACACAGACAACCAAGAGGTGCTTGGACTGTTATTTGCTTTAAAGAATGACTTACCACTCAAGAATTGCCCAACACAAGCAAAGGTACTTATTCTTTTTTTTCCTTTTTCTTTTGTTCAGCCATAATTTTAGAGATTTTAATCACAGCACACCTTCAAATAGTATCCAACTATATAGAATAAAAACTTTAGAATTCAGTAAATGTTAAGTTGTTGCTCTGTTTCCTTTATTTTAATTGAAAGATCACATGACTTAAACTACCAAAAGAACCATTGTATAAGCCTCTTCAGATTTTAAACTATTTGGCTTCATTTATTTTAATTGACAGCTAGGTGTATCTGAACTGAAAGACAAAGTAGTCATTCTTTTGGTATCAAAACCAGAGCTCCTTCCATTGGAGGAACTATTTTTGTTGGTTCACCAAACATATGATCATCCACACAGCAAGAATTTAGAGGGAAGTTATGAAATTGTATGGGTTCCCATCTCATTTTCGGATACATGGACTAATGCTGAAAAGGAAAGTTTTGATCTTTTATCGAACTATTTGCCATGGTTTTCGGTTTGGCAGCCGCAATCACTTGATTCAGCAGTGGTAAAGTTCATAAAACAAGAGTGGAAGTTCAAGGATGAACCCATCATGGTAGTGTTGGATTCAAAAGGGATGGTAACACACTCAAATGCACTTGATATGGTATTGATATGGGGCGCCAGGGGTTATCCATTTTCAGTTTCAAAAGAAATTCAACTCTGGGAAAAGGAGAATTGGACTCTGCAACTTATGATTGATGAAATTGATCCACAATTGGCTAAATGGGTAAGACACATGACTTCACAGTTAAGAAGCATCATCACTCATTACAAATACTTCAAATTCAATTACTTTTTACTTCTAATTACTAATTCCTTTATGTCAGGTTGAAGAAGGCAGGAATATTTGCCTTTATGGAAGTGACAACTTACATTGGATTAGAAAATTCAGTGCTAAAATAAATGAAATTAAGGGTAATGGCTTGCAACTCGATGTGGTGTATGTTGGTAAGAAGAACCCAAGTGAACAAGTGAGAAACATTTTAACTGTCATCAATGAAGAAATGCATACTAATTTCGTTCTCTCTTTCACAAAAATACAATTCTTTTGGTTCCGGTTGGAGAGTGTGAGAAGATCAAAACTCCGACTAGGAAAGATGGCTGATGACGATCATATTCTAAGAGAGGTGTCAGCATTACTGACTACAGACAACGGAGACAATGGTTGGGCTGTAATAGGTAAAGGTTTATCATCAGAAATTATATGGGTTCAAGGAAGTAAGCTGATGGAGTACTTGAACCGGTTTCCAGACTGGGGAGAAAATGTGGCAACATTGGGACTCATTGATGCAATTATATATGTTGTTGAACCGCCAGATCTTACTGCTCATTGTAGTCACTCTAAGCTCATTCCTTATGCTGATGGTGATGGGTCAATTGTTGTATGCCAAAATTGTAAGCGCCTCTTTAAAAAGTTTGTAGTGTATGAATGATTTGTAATTTGAGTGTTCTGCTCTGAGTTGAAGGTAATACTAAAAATAAAAATAACTGTTCCCTGGCAAATAAAATATATGTACTTGCAGTTTGTGATTATTTTAACAAAATGAAATCTTGGTATCTTATTTACTGAAATAGAATTAATAATTATAAATATCTCCTATAAATTACATTCGAAAAAAAAAAAAATCATCTTATAAACAAGTAGTTTGTAGACTGAAAAACCTTTGTTACACAGATATCAAGGACGAGTCATTTCTAAATCAGTATTATGGACGCCAATCGTCAGTGAACTATTAAGAAGTGTGGCATAGATTAAAAGCATAAATGAAAAGCCATTGTTGCAATCATTTAACATTCAAACGACAAGTTGTAAATAATCTGAGATAGATTTACATTGATTATAATCCATAAAACCCAAATCAGTATCAGATGGTTTTACAAGTTTTTGAGAAAAGGGATGATGCAACAAGCTTCGTTAAGTTGCAGCCTTTTGATTTCCCAACTTTTTGTAGAGCCCAACGCCATAAAATCCCGAATTTTTCAGCTCCATGGAGTTCTGAAACCTTGAAGGTCATCATCATTATTACTGTATTTTAACAAGGGTAAGAAAGACAGAGGGATATCATCTTGATGTCTTTCTCACATATTGGAAACATAGTTTTTAGGCAAGTACTTGATGCTCAAATGTTAAGAGAAGTAGTCAAGGTCTCTGATTTGATCAAGCTTTTACTTTGTTGGGCAAGAGACAAATGGACAATGAAGCTAATGCTTCAATTCTTCACTTTAAGCAAAGAAGAGAATTCCATTTGCAGGCTTTAATAAGGTAACTTATGGGGTCCCATGGTTAGGCCATGAATAACGTTTCCAAAATTTCCTATGCAGTTAAGCTGCTGGTAGACCCCAACAGATCTTCCTTCACAGTCTTTAAGATTTTTCCACAACCTTTTGGACACTATTCTTCATATTGCCTGGTTCGGATTATTAGAAACCTCTGGTGCAAGGAAGGAAGCAGTACAAAGCTTAAAAAGTAACATGAAGAATGAACAAAACATTTTGCATCTCATCAATTATTATTCTGCTAGCTTTTCTTTTTTTTTTTTTTTTTTTTTTTTTTTTTGCTTTAATGATGCATGGTTGCTTATGTCACAAAATTGGAATGTCAGATTTAGCACTTGTCCTTCTAAAATCAGGTTTTGCTACCATTCTCTGTATTACACAAACTGTGTTATTATCATAGTTATAGACATGAAAGCAAGAGAAGGATACCTATAAATCTCACAGGTTCAAAGCAGTATATTTAATTGCTTTTTAGCGTATTTTAATGAGGTGTTAATTCCACCCTCTTAACTCTACTTGGAATCCTGAAGCAGCATTCCAGGGGCAATCTTTTGGAAGAAGAAAACGAAAAAAGAAAAGGTGAGAAAAAGCAAAAAGAGCCATATACATTTTAACAAGGAAATTGGCAATAACGAAGGACGTGTTATCTGCATGGATTCAAGTTAATTGACATTCAAGAGAAGTAAGAAATTGCCTCCAGCTAAAGGGAAAGTATATATGTAATATATAATATATAATATATTTATTTATACCACAATTTAATATAAAAAAAACCTGAAAATATTAATTATAAAAACAAGCGTCTATTCATTATTGTAATATATTTTTATTTAACACCATATATAATAATGTAACATGTGTTGTGTATGGATTAAAGTTAGGTAACGTTTCTGGTGTAGGATTCTCAGGACTAACCTTTCATACAGTAAAGGTAGAAGATATAGTTAACTGGACCATTGCTTAATCTCATCCGGAATTTTAATCCTTTGGTCGTACTTTATGTTTAAAACCAAATTGGAAGTAAGGTAGCACATCCAATGAGCCTTTATTCCATTTACTGAACTATATATACGACTTAGAGAGGTAAACCAAATGCAGACCAAAGCCTTTCTCTCATCCCTTCCTCTATTATCCATCATCTAAAACATCTTAGCAATTCAATGGAGATTGTACCGCACAGAATGCAACTCAGGGAACGCCATATGTTCTCAACCTCAGATGACAATGCAATGATGAAGCAAGTCCAGGCCACTCATGCTCCTGATGGCCGTGAATTTGCTGTCAAACCTCTTCTTTACATCATTGAGGACATCTTCCGACGTGCCACCCCCAGTGTCCCTGGCTTTGATATGGTATAAATCTTGTCTCTAGCATTTGATTTGCTATTAATATTCCACATTCACGGCGTCGCTGATCAATTTTATGACTATGCAGGGAACACAAGCACAACTGGATGTGTTGGATGATAAGGCTTTCCAAGCTGACTTTTTCGACATGCTCGATCTGTTGTCAATGACCATCAATAAAATTTCCTGCGAGGTTTCCAAACATCACCTATTCTTCATTGTGTTGAAAATTTATCTATTTCAAGTTTTTAGTCTTTACCCACTTTCACATCGATGGAGATGGCACTACTACTACCATTTCAGAAATTAGCTTGGAAACCAACAGAAACTAATTTATTCATTGATTATATAGATATCCTGCAAATGTTCTGTTGGTGGAGATGCACACGCAACAACGTTGGGAATATTCAACATTCTTACAAGCTATGCGTGGGATGCTAAAGTGGTGCTAGCCTTGGCTGCATTTGCTTTGAACTACGGGGAATTCTGGGTGGTGGCACAACTTTACCCGACCAACTCACTTGCCAAATCGGTTGCACTCCTCAAGCAACTGCCAGAGATACTAGAACGCGTTGACTCCTTGAAACCAAAGTTTGAGGCACTTAGCAACCTCATCAAGGCCATGCTAGATGTTACCAAATGCATTGTTGAATTCAAAGAGCTTCCATCTCAGTACATTAGCCCTGACACACCAGCAATGTTAACTGCCACAGCCCACATTCCTACTGCCGTTTACTGGACCATCCGCAGCATTGTCGCTTGTGCTTCACAAATTATGGGCCTCGTTGGCATGGGTTTCGAGTATGTTTCTGCTGATCATTATCATTCCACGTTTGCTCTCAGTATAATCATAAAATTAAAGCAGCCCAATTTTTACTGCCGATTCTCTTGGCTGTTATCAGGTTCATAACATCAACAACTGAGGCATGGGAACTATCAAGCTTAGCCCACAAAGTCGGCAGCATACACACCCATCTTAAGAAGCAGCTCAATCTCTGTTATCAACTCATTGGTGAGTCTTTCCACTTCAAATATTATGGAAAGGAAGTAAACAATTTCCATTTATTTATTTTGATTATATATGTGAAGAGGTTACTAATAATTTTAGAGTGAATGAAATGCAGACGAGAAAAGGCATATTGAAGCATATCAAACACTTGTGCGACTGATGGAATCACCGCACATGGACAACATGAAGGTTCTGAGGGCACTGATTTATACCAAGGACGATCAACTGCCGCTCCTCGAGGGTGCAACCAAGAGAAGGGTTTGCTAATTTCTTTTTATTTTAAGTAAACGAATTATATATCAAGATTGAGGAGAATCGAAATAATATGTACTTCATTATGACGTAAACAGGCTAACATCGAAGTGTTGAGGAGGAAAAATGTTCTTCTACTGATTTCAGACCTGGATGTGTCCACTGAGGAGATATTCATGTTAGAGCAAATGTATCAAGAGTCACGTCAGCATCCATCAAGGACAGAAAGTCAGTACGAGGTTGTGTGGATCCCAGTTGTGGATAGGTCAACTCCATTCACCCAGCAAAAGCAAGAAAAATTTGAGACTCTCCAGAATCAAATGCCATGGTACTCTGTGTATAACCACACAATGATTGACCCGGCTGTGATCAAATACATCAAGGAAGTGTGGCAGTTCAACAAGAAGCCTATTCTTGTTGTGTTGGATCCACAAGGCAAAGTGGTCAACAACAATGCCCTCCACATGCTATGGATTTGGGGAAGCCTTGCATTCCCTTTTACTAGCGCTAGGGAGGAAGCTCTTTGGAAGGAAGAATCTTGGAGACTTGAGTTGTTAGCAGACTCTGTGGATGCAGCCATCGCTGTTTGGGTATATATACTTTCTACATCTTTTATAAATTTACACTTACTTTATTGGGCTGAATAATTATATGTTTTGGGGGCCAATTTCAGATAGCAGAGGAAAAGTGCATATGCTTGTATGGTGGAGAAGACATCGAATGGATCAGGAAATTCACAGCAATGGCACACTCAGTTGCACAAGCTGCAAATATTCAACTAGAGATGCTATACGTGGGGAAGAGCAACCCCAAAGAGAAAGTTAGAAGAAACATCAGCACCATTACTGTGGAGAAGCTTAGCAACACATTGCAAGACTTGGCACTGGTGTGGTTCTTCTGGGTGCGGTTAGAGAGTATGTGGCACTCTAAAATGCAACATGGGAAGAGTGTGGCAAACGATCCTATAATGCAGGAGATAGTGACAATGCTTAGTTTTGACGGGAGTGAACAAGGATGGGCTGTGTTTAGTGAGGGGAATGTCATGGCCAAGGCCAAGGGTGAAACCATTGTGCAAAGTTTTATAGATTACGAATCATGGAAGTCATATGTGCGGGAAAGGGGTTTTGTGCCTGCACTGAATGATCATCTGAGAGAAGTTCATACCCCACATCATTGCAACCGTCTGGTACTTCCAGGGACAATGGGGACAATCCCGGAGAAGGTGGTTTGTGCTGAATGCAGCCGTCCCATGGAAAAGTTCATCATGTACCGCTGCTGCAACGATTAAGCAATACACAATCTGCAGAGGGAGCATATCGTATTTAATATATTATTAAGGATTGGTTCTAGGATTGAATAAGTAATGCTACTACTGGCTGCTGCTTTTGTGTCTTCTTGCTCCTACGTGTGTTTGTTGTAATGACCCAATATATGAGTTATTAATTGCTTTTCAACTACTACTGCTTTCATTCCTTAATAAAATATAATGTTTTTCAATCTGATTTATGGTCTCTCTGGATGCCTTTGAACTTCATTCAGAAAGAAGACTTTTGGTATTGTTTCAATTTTCTTCTTTGAAAGCCTGCAAATCTATGCCTCCTCTCCGTTTTTCACCAAAACATAATTCTTGATCCTAATTCTTATATTCATTTAAGTTAAATTCCAATTTTGTTTGAATATATAGATGTCCAATTCAAGCTTCATCTGGAATTTGGTTATCATCTATTTCAGGTTTATGCTGCTGTAATAATAATCTAAGATTAATTTTCAATTTTCTTCATTAATTTTGGATATTTATACTATAAGTCGAAAGACATTTTTCTAGAAAAGCTCATCAAAAATATAATTTTCTCATTAAAACTCGAATCTATCAACCATAAAATCATTTAAAAAAAATAACAACTCAAATCAACCAAACTTGAAATCATTGATTTTGGATATTTAAACTCAAATCAATTAAAAAAAAGCACATTACAAAAGATAAAATGAGATTACAGCTAAAAAAGAGGCAGAAATATACCAGGAGACAGGTAGCTACTGCGCAAGAAAAGAATACACAGCGCTGTTAGAAACTGGCAAAGATTTATTAATTTATGCTTCGGAAACATGAACATTCCCCATTAAGTTATCAGAGAGAGTTCACCAGTAAGAAGCAACCCAACCACAAATGACTCATTGTATTAATTAAATTTAAAAAAAAATGGCAAATCCACCCACCAAACAAACTACTACGATTATGAGTAGTCTGTATAAAACAATACAGTAGGGCAGAAATTGAAGTTTATTTACGCTTTCGTTGACACGTCCCTCAAGAATGGTAAATCAAACGAAGAACGCAACGCCTATCAAAAGCGACTACTCAGAAAATTAAACTATAGAATTGTAAATCAAAGGAAGAACGCAACGTCTATCAAAAGACTATTCATAAATTAAAAAGTGCTGTAAAATACAAGCTTCTGAGATAGAGATCTGAATGTTGAGATTATATAGAGGCATAAGGGGCGTTAGGGTTTTTCTTATCTTTGATCGGTGAAAGTGACAAGAGGCTGCGTGGACTAGGGTTTTATGGAGACTAAGCAGTTGATAGAATTACGCAAATGCCATACAAAATCCATTGTTGGGCTTCGGCCTAGCGGAAAGTAAGCCCATCCCCTTTGGACTGATTAACGACTTTTGTCAAGTGTTATGTAAACCCATCAAAGTCTGAGTAAGATATAATTTACTGGGGATTGACACTTTTCACTTTTTTCCTCGTATAAAAATCAAACTTCTCTCACATTCTTCATTGATTTAAAAAAAAAAAAAAACACTTGGAGCCATTTACGAAAAGTAGATTTTTAACATTGATTTGAGTGTAATTATTGACTTGGATCCAGGGTGTGGTTGATTTATTGTCGAGGACACGTTCAATTTATTGTCAATATTTAGTTGTTTTGTGTGTTACGGCGAGATCTGACACTACCAATTTTGTTGCCCATTTGAGTTTATTATGAGTGCATTTTTAAATGGTTTTGTTCAAAAAGAGGTTTATGTCAAACAATCACCTAAATTTAAAAATCCTGAATTTCTTGAACACGTTTTCAAACTTTTAGAGGTTATTTATGGTTTAAAATAAGCTCATAAAGTTTGGTATAATAGATTGAATAGTTTTCTTGTTCAAAATGGTTTTATAAAATGAAAGGTAGATACTATCTCATTTACTAAAAGGCATGAGCAAGACATTTTGATAGTTCAAATTTATATTGATGACATCATCTTTGATGTTACTAATGAAATTCTTTGCAATGAATTTTCTAAGATGATGTAGGGAGAATTCAAGATGAGCATGATGTGAGAATTGAATTACTTTCTCGGATTACAAATCAAGCAACAAAACGATGAGATTTTGCTAAATCAATCAAAGTACATAAATGATCTCTTCAAACGCTTCAAGATGAATAAGGCAAAAAACCAACATACTCCCATGAGCACTATTGATGTTTGATTTTGACATCAACGACCTCGCACGTGCAAAATGTTAAGCAGGTCTTAGAAATTACACGTGATATGATTTGTGAGTTAGGACAAGGTTATAGATACAATTGAATGCCAAGACTAAATAATAAATAAGACAGTATTTTTATAGTGGTTCGGATGCTTAAAACGATTCCTACATCCACTGTTTCTTTTATATAAATGTGTTACAAGAGGTCGCGTATAGAGAACAGCAAACAAAGGTGTAATGACTGAGTATTCAAAGAGAATATCAAGTCAGTCTCTTTCTCGTAGGTTGTCATTGTTATTGAATATTATGAAAATTAGAGAATGATCGATCCCGAATTTGAGGGGGAGTCCTCTATTTATAGAAAACATCAAACATAGGTATAATGACTGAATATTCAAGGAAATGATTACAAATTTGCAAGTGGGTAGGTGTCGTGCAAGTCCTTCCTTGCCTCTCATTAGCTCATAACTTAGGAAATATTCTCAAAATATCTAGGGCTTGGACAGGTGTGCCGTCCTCATTCACTTGTAGACAAAACCTGAACCTGCTAGGTTGGTGACAAGCGCATTCTCCCTGTCTTGGGGAAAAATGGCAGCTTCTAAACGACGCAAAACCTTCATGAACTTTGATTGGTACTTGCTGATGTAAGCTTATGTCAGCCCTGATTTTTTAGGCAAAACAGAAGCTATGTAATTCTTATGATTCAAGGAATTGGATCTTAAGAACTTCATGATTATGCTGTGACTTGACTTGTTTTTAGAAATGTTTGCTTAAGCTGAAAGCTGAGAATAGTCACATCGCTGCAGGTGACCTGAAGCTGACTGCTTGATATGACCAACGAACTGAGTATGGGTTGTGATCTAGACTTTGAGATTAACACTAGCAACCTGACGTGATCGTTTACAGAGGTCCGCCGACATGAGTTCGATCATGTCTTGTGCTATCAAGATGTATTTTGAACCCCAATCGTCATTCACGACCTGAAAACACTTAGAACGTTTTTCTATTTAAAACTGAAAACCATCTTGTTCAGTGTTTGAGTCTGACATGTTGAACAAATGTCTTTTTTGAACGACCTCCTTAAATGTTCTTCGTTGCGCTTGACAGCTGGCTTCGTTAATAAGACAAACCTTATCTAACAGACGTGTCTCTGCACTCAATAAGTGTCAACCATAGGATTTAAATGCAAGCCATGCTGAAACAACATTCCCTTTTGAAGCATTAAATGTGGATGAGGACGCATTTAATGTGAAGGAGATAATCACGCCGGCGTTTGGCGATTTCGATAAAGAAATGCACCGGTTGATTTTCACGAAACGTGGGAGTTACTCGTCGTGTGGATTGACAACATGTGGTCGCAATCTACGGCTAGGAGCGCGTTCTCGCCTAAACATCGCTTATAAAAGAAAGTCAAGCGTCGTCTTCCACCTTATAAAACCCTAAGCTTACCCTAAGTTTTCAAAGAGGTCAAATTTTTTAGAGAGAAAAAACGACGTTTTCAAGCTCTAAAACATAAGTTCATCTTCTTCCAGTTAATGCAAACTCAACGCTACAGCAGAGCACCTGTTCCCAGTAACCAAGAGGTAAGGAAATTTCTCCCTTTTTCTCTTTTTTGTTCCTATAAAAAAAACATAACTTTTACAGTCATGGTAGTCACGAGTGTCTAGTAGGCTTAGATGATGAACATTTCTGGGTAGTGTTTGAAAGAAACACTTTTAAGATTTGAAAGTTAGGGCAAAAATCTTTTAGAAGATTATTCTTAAGAATTTGTAGGGCTTTTAGGGGCTTTGACGGCTATGGAAGAGAAACCAAGGTTCTTTTACTCTTCTGAGTCATCGTATGAGGTAGATTATTCAGGGTTTGAGTCACCCCTACATGTCACATCTTTACAGACTCAAAGGGCAATGGAGATCCCTAAGACAAGAACAGTTGGAGAGGGGAGCTCGCAACCACTGGGCACCTCGGCAGGTCCTGTAAAGGTGATATGTTCTACTGCCTCAGTACAAGAGATCCAGAGTGCAATAGATCAATACTCGATCAACATGAATGTGCATCAACACAGGTCGCACACTGCTCAGGATCCTCTCAAGGGAATGGTTGCGATCTCGGAAGCCATTTTCAAATGTGGAGTGAGGATACCCATCCACCCCTACACAAGTCGATCCTCGACCACTTCCAGGTCGTGCCATTCCAACTAACACCAAATGCATATATGATATCTATCACTATGTATATAGTATTTGCTGAGCACGACCTTAAGGAGCCAACGATGCAAGAGCTCGCTTGCGCTTACATCCTAAAGAAGAGTAAGGACAAAGACTTATACTATCTCTCCAAACGATCAACGATTGAGGGAGAGATATTTGGTTACCCCAACAACGTGGGGGCTTACGAAACCAAATATTTTTTCTTCAAGTATGATGGTGTCTATAAATTTACGGAATCGAGTAGGTTTTCCTTTTAAATTTTAGGTCGTTCGCCCTTTAACCTTAATTTTTTTTTTAGTCAATAAGCTAACGAACTCCTTTTTTCCTTTGCAAAAAACAAAACGACCAGATTGTCAGTGCTAGCTGATCGCATCGAAGCATTTGGTCGATTGCTCGATCAGAGTCGTGACGCAAGACTGCTCGTGACAACAAAAAATCTCCAGAAGTACAAGTTTTTTCCTCATGACGCATACTTAGACAGTTCAGCTCATAAGTATTTCTTAAACAGAAAAATTCTTCTTTTTATGAAATTCGACTCTTTTTGTTGATGTATTCATATGCCATGCAGCAGCCATGCAACCGAAGAAGTCTACGGGATTCACCTTCCCTAGACTAAACCCGACTGGAACAGCTGGAGTGACCTCCAGCGATGTCCTTGTAACGAAGACACAAGCTAGTGCCGAAAGGCAACCACCTGCAGAACGACATGAAAAATCTCTCCAGCCTACTATTGCTCGTCCGATAAGGAAGAAAACCACGGCCTCGAAGAAGAGGAGACAATACCAACCAAAGAATCTGAATCTAAGTCAGAAGGCTTTGGGATACTGCCAAGTGGACTATAGCTGTACCAACCTCTTTCTTTGAAGATCGCCTCACAGGGTGCCCCAAGGACTTTGCAAGCAAGGGAAAGAACCTCGCAAGTGGGCGAAGGTTTGGCCACTCAAGGAGAAACTGGCGAAAAGCGAATTGAAGAGGTCTTTGCCCCAAGAAGGTACGACCAATTTGTGTTAGACCTCTAATGCAATACTAGACCATCTAAGGCCGATGGTCTTTACCCTTCTAGAATGCCACCTAGCATCTACCTTGAGAGGTATGTGGCCTCTTGACCTACCAACCTAGTGGCCACCGCTCTTCAAATGCAACGTCAGGTAAGACAACTCTTTCTCTTCGAAAACTCTTTTATGCAAGTCGATTCCTTAGTTTAAAAAACTAACTCTTTATCTATTTTCTTGTAGTCTTTGCTCGCTTTGAACGTTGCTCACAACAAGATGAAGATCAACTTCTCTGGCAAGCTTCATGAAATGAAGGAGGAGGTTGTCAAGTTGAATCAAGCTCTTGCAACTTCGAACGAAGATGCAAACACTGCTCAGGTTCAAACGAACATATATCTAACAAAAAGGAACTCTGCTTTACGAACAGAAGAGTTTCATAAGAACAAGCTTTTGAAAAAGGATGACAACACCAAA